CCACCGGAGGCCCCAGTGGCGGCGCTCACATGCGTCACCCACACCCACCCAATTCGGCACACCCCTCACACGTTTCGTGGCCCCATAGGGAGCTCCACCGAAGGCCCCAGCGGCCGCGCTCACATGCGTCCCCGCCACCCATCCCGGCACGCCCCTCACAACAACAGGTTTCGTGGCCCCATAGGGAGCTCCACCGAAGGCCCCAGTGGCACCGCCCGCATGCGTCACCACCCGCACCCAATTCGGCACACCCCTCACACGTTTCGTGGCCCCATAGAGAGCTGCACCGAAGGCCCCAGTGGCGGCGCTCACATGCGTCCCCGCCACACATCCCAGTACACCCCTCACGCGCTTCGTGGCCCCATAGGGAGCTCCACCGAAGGCCCCAGTAGCGGCGCTTACATGCGTCTCCGCCACCCATCCCAGCCCCCCCCCCCGCAGCAGCATCATGTTTCGGGGACCCGTAGGGAGCTCCACTGGAGGCCCCAGTGGCGGCCCGCACATGCGTTTCCGCCACCCATGTCGGCACGCCCCGCGCGTGTTTCATGTCCCCATAGGGAGCTTCGCCGAATCCCCCAGTGGCACCCATCTCGGCACACCCCTCACACGTTCCGTAGTCCTATGGGGAGTTCCATTGAAGATGAAACCCGCAGCTGCGGTACTGACAACTGCATATGGTTGGGTTCTTCGCCAGGCTAATTTTCAATGCGGGGTCCCCGGAAGTCTCGACCCATTCCCCAGGACTGTTTTTTTTACGACGATATGGGAGCGAAGAAAGCCTCTGAACGTTCCAGGTAGGCTGCGATGGACTAGACCACGCTGGGCGTCCCCGCCACTCCGACCGACACAGAAGCCTCGGCCGACATGTCGGGAACGCCTAAAAAAGAATATACAGTAATTAGTGCTCGTCGCTGCAGCGGCCCTCCCGCGGTCGAGGGGGTGCTGCCTCGCGCCTTCTGCGGCTGTGCGCTGCAACGGTGCTGCTCGCCATAGCGGGCAGTCAAAGCGGAACAGCGGAGATTGCCCTAAACCTTCCTCTGGGGCGGTCCTCCTGGGGGGGGGCAACATATTACCCCCCCCTCCTCAGCCCTTACAGACAAGCTGTTAGCTCCGGGGATAAGCGAAAGAGCGGTTCATATTGAGACATTTGCCCGATGCAAGGGCGCCAGACGAGCTCGTCAAAAAAGACGGGCCTGCCACGACATTCAGCTAGAGGGAGAGGTGTAGTGGGGGAAGTCTCCGTGAGGCAGGCGAGGGGAGAAGGCGAGTTGAGACTAACTATACGCGGCGTGAAAACGACCACAGCCACTGCTTTTCTTTCGTTGCCGCCTTCCAGCCAGCAGAATCAAAGCAGTGGTTGTGGTCATTTTCGTTAAGCTTGGCACCAGGGAACTGACCACAGCCACTGCTTCTTTTTTGGCCGGCTGGAAGGTGGCGCAAATCAGAAGCAGTGGCTGTGGTCATTTTCCAGTCCCGCAAACTACTGTGGCCGTTCGAGCTCGGGGGGACGGACTTGCGTCAGCTTACCGCGATGATAAGATCTGGGCGGCCTCATCATCAGCGGCGAACTCATCCTCCGAAGCATGCTCAAAAGGATTGTGCGCAACATCCTCTGCTGAAGCCGTGCGGTCTGCACCTGACGCAAGCGGTGCTGGCATCGGTGCTGGTGTCGGGTGGCTCGAACCTTGAAGTGGTTCTCCAGCTGTAAATACCGTGCGTCGATCTTCTTGAAGTGTTCCAGCGAGACTGAGATCTCTTCTTCCATCCAGCCCGCCGGGGCGGGGCCCACGTGGTGGCGAGCCTTCCCCTCGGCGCGGAGCCCGTCGATGACGAACTTGCGGGCTGGCCAGTCGTGCGCTTCCATGACCAGCTCGGCGACGTTCGGGTCGTGGGTCTTCTCTACTCGAATGAAGGACACCTGGTCCGTGAGTGCTCCCAAGTCGATGGTCGGGTCCTTGGCCTCGTCTGCTGGTTGGCATTCCTCGAGGTAGTTGGTCATCTGATGCTTCACGCGTCCTCCTATCTCGCAGGTGACCAAGCCCTCCAGCATCGCCAAGGCCAGTGCTGGGGTCGGCGTGCTCAAGCGTTGGAGCGCCTCCTTGTTCTGTTCGGACTTGAACCCGTGCACCCGCTTGCGAACGCCCTCCAACTCGTCGCTGATGTGGGTGAGAAGCGGATGAGTTACTGCCATCGTCCAGGTGTCGGCCACGGCGCACATGAGCAATCTGATCTTCTGAGTGTTCTGTAGGGTGAGCGTCATCAGGGCCATGATGAGAGCGTGCATGTTCTTTTCTTTGTTCGTCCAGATCTTGTCCGTGTGGTGGCCTCTGTGGGCGCGTCGTCCACCTCTTCGGCGAGGGCCCCTTGGGGCCGAAATTTGGGAAAAACCTCCGTCTTGATTTTCTGAATACGTTGGATCCCTGGGAATGCGAGTGCGAATGCGAATGGGCCCTCCCCCTCCTCCTCCCTTCCTCCTCCTCCTCCTCCTCCTCCTCCTCCT